GGGTTCGGGCCTCTGGGTTCGGGCGGTTTTTGCCCGACCGGCGGACCCGCCAAAGTGGGGCCTCACGGTCGCAAACCGCCCTAGCCTGATCTGCGCCCGAGCGGACGCGCCTCGGCCGGTCCGCTCGGGCGCGAAGACTCACGCTCCTTCGATGATGCAGAGCAGGTGTCGTGGGATCGGCGGAGCCGCGGAAGCGGGGGGCAGACGATCGCCCCCTGCTCCAGGCGGGGCAAACGACGCAGCGGTATCGCCCGGCAAGCTGCTGCGCCCCGTCGTTGGCCGCGACGACGCGCGTCTCGTCGCCGCTGCGCCCTGACCCGGTGCGGCGTTTGTCGGGACGCGCGCGGCGTTGTAGGTAGGGGCCAAGGAAAAGATGCCGCGCGGACCGGTCCGCCGGCCGGAAGGGGTGAAGTCGTGAAGAAACGCCGCAACTATACGGGGCCGCAGGCGGCCGGCCTGAACACGGAGAAGACCTTCGAGGGCGACCGGCAGTTCGTCTCCGCGCTCTACCGGGGATTGCGGATTCTGCGCTGCTTCCACCCCTCGGACAGCGCCGGCCTGGGCAACCTGGAGCTGGCCCAGCGCAGCGGCCTGCCCAACTCCACCGTCTCGCGCCTGACCTACACGCTCAGCAAGCTGGGCTACCTGATCTATGACGAGGGCAGCGGGCGCTACCGCATGGGCGTGCCGGTGCTCAGCCTCGGCTATGCCTGCCTCGGCGGCATGCGGATCCGCGAGACGGCGCAGGTCTACATGCAGGAGCTGGCCGACAGGTCGGGCGGCGGCGTCCTGGTCGCGCTGGGCGGGCGCGATGCGCTGAGCATGACCTACATCGCCTGCGCCCGCTCGCAGGGGCTGGTCTCGCTGCAGCTCGACGTCGGCTCGCGCATCTCCCTGGCGCGCTCGGCCATGGGCCGCGCCTACCTGGCCGGCGCCGACGCGTCCGAGCGCGACCACCTGCTGGCGCAGATCCGCGAGCGCGCGGGGCCGGAGCGCTGGCCGCGCCTGGAGGCGGAGATCCACGACGCGATCGACCAGGTGCGCGAGAAGGGCTTCTACACCAACTTCGGCCAGTGGCAGCCGGACGTGCACGCCGTCGCCGTGCCCTACCGCGCCCCCCAGGGCGGCTCCCCGCTGCTCGCCTTCAACTGCGGCGGGCCGGCCTACCTGCTGCCCCGCGAGCGGCTGGAGGAGGACCTCGGCCCGCGCCTGGTCGAGCTGGTCGAACTGGTCTCGCGCAGCGGCGCCGGGCTCTGAGCCGCGCCGCCGGCGCGCCTATCCGAAGCCGTGGTTGGCGTTGAACAGCGGGTCGAGGGGGTTGAGCCGGGCCGAGATCAGCCGCGTCTCCGCCAGCACGGCCTGGGAGACCTGCTGCGCGCGCGCCGGCGTGAAGCGGCTGACCAGGGCGCAACTGCTGATCGCGGCCACCGGCTGGCCGTTGCTGTCGAAGATCGGCGCGCCGACGCCGGTGTATTCGGGGATCATGCAGCTTCCCGTGTCGCTGACGTAGCCGCGCGCGCGGATTTCGGCGAAGTCCGGCAGCGTCTCGACTCGCACGGCGAAGTTGCTCTCCAGATTGCCGCGGTTGCGCGAGAGCACCTCCTCGCGGTCGTCGTCCTCCAGGAAGGCCAGCACCGCCAGCCCGGCCTGGCCGACGCCCAGCGGCACCCGGCCGCCGATGCCGCGGGTGTAGCTGCGCACCGGGTAGCGGCCGTCGCGGATGTCGATGCAGACGTTCTCGTAGCCGTCGCGCACGAAGAGGAAGAAGGTGTCGCTGTACTCGGCTGCCAGTCGCATCAGGCAGGGGCGGGCGATCTCGCGCAGGCCCTCGTGGCTGCCGGCCATGGCGCCGAGGCTGAGCAGTTGCAGTCCCAGGTGATAGGTCTTGCCGTCGGCGCCCTGGCGCAGGAAGCCGTGGCGGCGCAGGTTGTCGACCAGGCGGTAGGCCGTGGCGCGGTTGAGCGCCGAGCGCTCGACCAGATCGCGCAGACGGCAGCCCTCGCGGCCGCTCTCGGCGACGATCGCCAGCAGTCGCGCGATGCGGTCGACCACCTGGGTCGAGCCGTAGCCGCTCTGTCCTGCCGCCATGCGCCGTGCCGCCCTCTACCGAGACCGCGCCAGAGCCAGGAAATCCGGCTCGCGCACGCCATCTTTCCAAGCGATCAGGCGGTCGCGCAAGCGCCAGGCCGCCATCAGCGGTTCGCCCAGAAGGTCGAGCGCGCGCCGGCCCGCCTCGAAGCGCTCGAGCGGCACGGCCAGTTCGTCCGGCGGCGCGCCGCCGAGCAGCGCGGCCAGCTCGCCGGCCAGGGCGGTGGCGGTCGGCACCCCGCGCCCCGAGTAGCCGAGGCAGGCGAAGAGGTCCGCCTCGAGGGCGAAGACCCGCGGGAAGGTGCGCCGCTGCACGTCCAGCTTGCCGGGCCAGAGGTGGGGCCAGTCGACGCGCCCGACCTCGGGAAACAGCCAGGCCGTGCGCTCGGCCACGTAGGCGCGGGTCAGCGCCGGGTCGCGGCCCAGGCGCGGGCTGCGGTAGACCGTGGTGACCAGCCGGTTGTCGGCTGTCCACTTGTAGATGAAGGGGTCCTTGCGGGTGTCGGTGAAGGTCTGGTCGCCGGCCAGCACCTGCGCGCGCAGGCCCCCCGGCAAGGGGGCGCTGGCCAGGCCGACGATGTGCACCTGGGAGACCGCCTGCTCCAGGCGGCGCCAGGGCCGGCCGTCGAGATAGGCGCCGGTCGCCAGCAGCACGCGCCGCGCGCGCAGGCGGCCGTGCGGCGTGTCGAGCTGCCAGCCCGGGCGCCCGTCGGGGCGGCGGGCCAGACCCCGCACCGGGCTGTCGACGTACAGCGCGGCGCCGGACCGCTGCGCCGCCGCGGCCAGCCCGCGGGCGAACTTCAGGGGATGCAGGTGGGCGCCGTCGTGCAGCAGCCAGCCGCCGTAGGGACGGGGCGAGCCGGCCAGGCGCTGCGCCGCCGCCGCATCGAGCAGCTCGCCCGACAGCCCCAGTGCGCGGTAGGTGCGGCACTTGACCTCCAGCTCCGCCATGCGGCTCGGCGCGTGGGCGGCGCGCAGGTAGCCCCGCTGCACGAAGTCGCAGTCGATGCCGTGGCGCGCGATCAGCGCGGCGACCCGCGCGGCCGCGCCGGTCTGCAGCGCGACGATGCGCGGCCCGAAGGTGGGCCCGAAGGCGCGGCGGATCTGGTCCGGCGAGGCGAGGTGGAAGGTCGGGGTACAGTGACCGGCGTTGCGGCCCGAGCCGCCGTGGCCGATCTCGCGCGCCTCCAGCAGCGCCACCGCGTGGCCGCGCTCGGCCAGCAGCAGCGCGGTCACCAGCCCGGTATAGCCGCCGCCGACCACGGCGATCTCCGCCTCCGCCTCGCCGCTCAGGCGCGGCAGTGCCGGCGGCGGCGGGGCCGAGGCCGCCCAGTAGCAGCTCTCGGGCGCGCGGTCCTCGGGCGCGCGGTTCTCGGGCGCGCGGTTCTCGGGCGCGCGGTTCTCGGGCACGCGGTTCTCTGGGCTCGGGTCTCGGACAGGGTCGTGATCGGCCATGGCGCGCCCTACTGGCTGTGCAGGTGGCAGGCCACCCGGCGGCCCGGCGCCGCCTCGCTCAGGCTCGGGTAGACCTCCTTGCAGATCGGCATGACGTGCGGGCAGCGCGGGTGGAAGTGGCAGCCGCGCGGCGGGTCGAGCGGCGAGGGCGGCTCGCCCTTGACCTGGACCAGGCGGCGCGCCTTGCGCGGGTCGGGCACCGGCGAGGTCTCGCGCAGGATTCGGGTGTAGGGGTGCAGCGGCGCGTCGAGCAGCTCGGCGGTCGGTCCGGTCTCGACCAGCCGGCCCAGGTACATCACCGCCGAGCGGGCGCAGAAGTAGCGCACCACGCCCAGGTCGTGGCTGATGAACAGGAAGCTCAGGCTGTGCTCGGCCTGCAGGCGCTGCAGCAGCAGCAGGATCTGCGCCTGGACCGAGACGTCCAGGGCGGAGACCGCCTCGTCGGCGACGATCATCTCCGGGTGCAGTGCCAGGGCGCGGGCGATGCCGATGCGCTGGCGCTGGCCGCCGGAGAACTCGTGCGGAAACTTCAAGGCGGCGTCGCGCGGCAGGCCGACGTCCTCCAGCAGGCCGGCGACCCGGTCGCGCGCCTCGGCCCGGCCGGCCAGGCCATGCACGCGGATCGGCTCGGCCAGCGCGGCGCCGATCGACAGGCGCGGGTTGAGCGAGGCGTAGGGGTCCTGAAAGATCATCTGCACGTGGCGCCGGTGCGGGCGCAGCGCCTTGCCCCGGAGGCTGGCGAGGTCGAGTTCGCCGAAGCGGATCTCGCCGCCGTCGCTGTCCAGCAGCCGCACGATGCAGCGGCCGACGGTGGACTTGCCGGAGCCGGACTCGCCGACCAGGCCCAGGGTCTCGCCCTTGCGGATGTCGAAGGTGATGTCCTGCGCCGCCGGCACGCGCCGGCCCTTGGTGAAGAGCCCGCGCTCGGTGACGTAGGTCTTCTCCAGCCCCTTGACCGACAGCAGCGGCGCACCGTCCAGCTTCGTCCGCTCGGGCGGCTCGAACTGCGGCACGGCGGCGATCAGGCGGCGGGTGTAGTCGTGCCGCGGGGCGTTCAGCACCTCGTCGGCCGGGCCCATCTCGACGATCTTGCCGAGCTGCATGACCGCGACCCGGTCGGCGATCTCGGCGACCACGCCGAAGTCGTGGGTGATGAACATCACCGCCATGTGGTGCTCGGCCTGCAGCTTCTTGATGAGTTGCAGGATCTGCGCCTGGGTGGTGACGTCCAGCGCCGTGGTCGGCTCGT